CCATGCCCGGCTAATTTTTTCTATATATTTTTAGTTGTCCAGCTAATTTCTTTCTATTTTTAGTAAAGATGGGGCCTCGTTCTTGCTCAGGCTGGTCTAAAACTCCTGACCTCGAGCTATCCTCCTGCCTCGGCCTCCCAGAGTGCTAGGATTGCAGGCGTGAGCCACTGCGACCAGCCTAGCCTTCAACTTAACAGAACAACTGATTGCAGTACTTCAAAAGGAAAATATATATTATTCAGTCACTTTGGATGAATCAGCTGATACTACTGACTCTTGGCGCAGGTTTAATACTTCATTCCGGTGATAACAGAAGATTTTCTTTTTTTTCATAACCCAGAGTTAAAGCTTTTCTTTGCTACAAAGAGTTACTTGCTTTGGGCACTCTTGTGAACAGAACATGGGGAATAGATAGCTTCAACACCTTTCAAGATAAATGTCACGAAGTTGGAATGAATTTGGTAAATTTGGTGCGTGTATATACAGATGGTGCACCTTCCATGACAGGAAAACGTGAAGTGTTTATTGAACAGATTAAAAAAGTATTAACAGATCCAGATGCTCTCATTTCTTTTCATTGTATCTTGCATCAACAAAATCTCTGTGCTAAAGCTACTATTTGAAGTGACACTTTGCAACAAATTATAAGTATAGTTAATTGTATTTGTACAAATGCAACATGGCATGGTCAGTTTTATAACATGGTAAAGTTGAACCATGAGGTATTTAGTGTGGATTTGCCATATCATTCTAAAGGGTGTTGGCTATTGCAGGGATAGATGTTAGCCAAAATTTTATCTCTGCAAGAACAGATAGTTAAATTTTATGAAGAACAGAATCAATAATTTGAATTATTGATAGAAGATTTTTATAGGAATGCAGCATTTCTATGTGGTATCATGTTAAATCAAAACAACTTGAATATTTCTTTGCCAGGTAAAACTAAGTCTATATATGATAGGTGACAAAAAATCCAAGCATTTTGAAAAAAGCTATCTTTGTTCAAAACAATTCTTCAAAAGGAAATTTCAGATGAACATTTTCCCCAGTTAGCAAAGGTCATTGATGAGCAGGATGATACATATGAATCATTTGAAGAATACACAGATGTTATAGACTATTAATTGGAAAATACAATGAAAGATTCACTGATTTTGAGAATCATATCATCACACTCAAATTAGCATTTCAGCCTCACCTAATTGATATCATCAAGGCATCTAAAGAACTACAGATGGAATTGATTGAGCTCTCAGTAGATGACATTTTAAAATCATTGATACTTAGAAAGATCCAATTGAAATACAGAAAAATGCAGTAGAATACCCAAGCCTTCAGCAACATGCCCAAAACATGTTTTCTTACTTTTCAAACACTTATTGCTGCAAATCTGCATTCTCCTACCTAACCCAAATCAAGATGTCCTTAAGGTCACAAATGACTGATATCCATCTAGAGGACTAACTGAAACCGTGGACCTCCATGCTGCAACCAAATACCCAAATGCTTTTCAAAAAAAAGCAGACACAACAAAGTCATTAAAAGGTTAGTTAACTTTAAAATTAACAAATAGTTTTCAGTTTTTGAAATTATTAAGTACATAGTAGTTAGAT